CTGGTCTGAAAAGGCCACCCGATGCCGGATTAAAGACAATATTGAATTTACCTGGGCTGGTTAGTCCGATGATAATATCTCAAGGCCATCGCCCTTTCAAAAAAAAAAAAAAAAAATCGCTACCTAGGAGCCTACGCTAGCGAATTTAAAAAATCGCGGCAAGATATTTCGAATTTGCCAGGGGAGCAGTCGATTTCGTCGATTTCGTCGATTTCAAAGTTCTTTTTTTTTTTTTTTTTTTGATTTCAAAGTTCTACTCGGTGCGGTAGGCACAAAGATCTTTCGCAACCGACCTGGGGCCAAGTCCCACTACCGGTAGCAACGTTGAGTTTCCTCAATGGCTGAATCTGGACTTGCTTACGGAGATGTGCGGTTGAGGAAACTCAACGCGACTTCTGCAACCCCTGCCCAAACACGTCCAGATTCAGGCGTTGAGGAAACTCGACGCTGCTCGTGGGACTTGGCCCCTGGTCATGTTAGCACTCGCGCGTGCATCGTGTTTACTGGGTATAAGTACCGCTCAATGTAGCACCACCGTGTAGCAACCAAGACCGCACTCTGCACTGTAGACCCATTGTCTGTTTCTGCTGCTACACGTGGTCTTCGACGGTAGTGGTCCCGACGCAGCAACCAAGATCTCTCTCTCCCTCTCTCCCTCTCTCTCTCTCTCTGTCCCTCTCTCCCTCTCTCTCTCTCTCTTTTATCACTGTAGCACTATGTAGCAACCAAGAGCACACTCTGGTTTTCGGTAGATCCATTGTTTGTTTCTGCAACACAGTTATCTTCGATTCCTGGTACCCACGCAGCAACCAAGATCTCTCTCTCTCTCTCTCTCTCTCTCTCTCTCTCTCTCTCTCTCTCGCTCGCTCGCTCGCTCTCTCGCTCGCTCGCTCGCTCGCTCTGCGGGCAGTGTAACAACATGTGGCGACCAAGAACACAATCTGCACGGTAGATCCATTGTCTGTTTCTGCTACAGAGTGATCTGCAACTAGTGGTCCTGGCGCAGCA